CATCATCAGGGCATTTCATCTCAATTACACGATAGTGATCCAGTTCCTGCCACAGATTCTGTAATAGAGTTGCAACTCTGTGACAAATTTGTCTCCTTGTTTGGTTGCTCTGATTGTTTCCTTGATTTCATACACAATGGCAGCATCGCGGGCTTTCGAGTATGTGCAGTTGATATAGTCCCAGATTTTCTTTGCGGTATTCAAGAACATGCAAGTGTCACTGATCGTTGGGTCCATAGAATCCCATAGCCAGGACATAATCATGGAATCCTCCTCTTCCCATGCTGTAGATGCTGGATCCCTTTGTTCTGGTCCGGTTTTAAGTAGGTGATTAATCCTCCATTTGCCTTTTAGGTATGTGCGGACAATTTGGGACCATTACCATTTGAGATAGTTCTTCCCATTGAACCTGTTGGATGCCCGAATATTCTGTTAACTCTCCAATTTTCTGAACAGCATTGTATTCTTCAGAATGGTTGGAGTAGTTGGAGATAGTGGTTTCGAACATTGACATGGTGGAGAAGAAAAATTTACAGCAATTAAGGTTAGAATCAACTTCAGCGGGAAAGGACGATCTTCCTCGTGACAACGCGCTGCTCCTCTCGGACGAAGCAGAGAGGATGGAGCGCAGATCGCAGAGAACTGAGATGCCGAAGAAGATGGGAACGAACACGAAGGCGGAAGCAACTCATGCTCGAAAGGAAGAGTCGCTACTGGAATCCTGTGCTCGGGAGGAATCACGTACTCGCTACTGGAACGAGGCAGAGGGGCCGCGTGCCGCCAAGAAACGCCAGGAGGAGTCGACGCGCTGAGATCAACGCACTGAGATCGACGCGCTGAGATCGACACAGGATTGCGCTGAGATCGACGCAAGCTCGAATGGCGGCAACAGAGGCGGTCTCGTCTAGGGTTTGAGCTTGGGCTTTGATACCATGTGGAAATCAAAGGAATAATTTGTATTTTCACCTCTTTTGAATTGATCATACAATGTATTATATAAGAAATAAAAGGAGAAAAAACTAGGAAACTATTTAACTAATTCTCTTAATTTAAGGGATTACAAATTTATTCTAATTTCCTTAATTTAAGGGATTTACCAATTAATTCTAATTTCCTTAATTAAGAAAATTAGAATTAATTCTCACAACTTTATTTCCATCTCAGTCACATCTCGACAGAATGTGATAAACTTGAAGGAAAACATGGAAAGAGAATGCTTTTCCTTCGAAAATTAAAAAATTGATGTAAAATAATTTGATACGAATTTAAATTTTTTCGAAAACTTAAGACTTTTTTGGTTCACCCTCATTACCTAATTAAGAGTATTTACATATATACCACATAATTCCTATGTATTTACATATCAAACACCTAAATTTAGGGTCTGTTTGGCGCAGCTGATGATTATTTATAATCTACTGATAAACAGATTACATCATCCCTGCGGCCCGCGTTTCGTTCGCATAATATTACTCCGGTGCCCTCGTTCACATCTCTCGTGCCCTCGCATCTCCCTTCTCCTTGTTCGCATCCTCTGCTAAATGACATTCCTGCCCCTGTCTGATAAAACAGTTTATACAGGGAACCATAACTATAATCTCACATAACAGTTTATACAGTATAACGAATCAAAGATGCAACCCAGCAAACAACATAACAGGGCCGCACATTCCTTCACATACCAACAGTTAGAAGCAGCTGGAAAACTTCCAACAGTAACATGAACCTAAAATACCCAAAAAATCAAAATGTAAAGGCTCAAAAAAAAATTTCAAGAGTTCCCCCTAAACATTCCAACGGTTCCAACAGTAACAAACACATTCCTTCAACGAAACCCTAAGATCCATTTTGACAGCATAAAAAAAAAAACCCTCAGATCCATTTCACTCCAACATTTCGAACAAATCTTAAAAAAAAAATCCATTCGCAACGTAACCCTCAAAAAAAAAAAAACAAAAAACGCATAAAAAACTCAACATTAAGGAATCGAGCCACATAAAAGCCAAACAGAGAAGATCGAAGCATTGCGGCATATAGGTCTCACCAGAAGATTACGAAAGAGAAGATCCGGAAAAGAGATCGCGTGGGAGAGCGCGAGAGAAAGGAGATCACGAAGGAGAAACCGCAGGGGCATGGGAGGAATTCGAGCCCTAACAAACGCCGAATCCAAGGCCTCCCCTCCGTCCGATCCGTAGATTACGAGGTTTTCAAAACGCATGACCGAACGCATTAAACAAACACCACGGCGGCGTTTTGAAAACGTCGCTGCAACAAAATAAGCTGCCCCAAACGGACAGGTAATGTGTGAAAATTGACGTTTAGTTGTTAGATATGTAAATACGGAGGAATTGAGAGGCATGGTAGGCTAAATTGAAGTCTAGGCCGCAAGCAAAAGAAGACTACAACGTTCAAAGTGCGCATTGAAATTTAGACCGAAGTCAGAGACAATGCTCGACTTCCTTGGGAATATCAAACAAGTCGGTCTGCTTCTTACACTCCTTCGAACTCCAAACTAAAGCTTTTATTTACTCGCTAAATCATGAACAGAACAATTGGCTTCAGCGCTTCGAAGCGCGCTTCAGCGTAGAGATGCGGGCGTCAAGTGGTTTGCTTCACTTTGCATGTGAAGCGTGCTTTTAAAAATATTTTATAAAGAAATGGGAAAAATGTCAAAATGGTCCCCGACTTTTTGTTACGGGCCATTTTAGTCATAGAGTATATAATTGTCAATTTAGTTCCATACTTTTTTAATGGGGCTAATAATAGTCGTCATTCAATTTCAGCCCATATTAAAAGTGTTTGTGGACTAATTCGACACTTTTATAATAGAGTATACAAAATTGTCAATTTAGTTCCAAACTTTTTTAATGGGGCTAAAAATAGTCGTCATTCAAATTCAGCCCATATTAAAAATGTTTGGGGACTAATTCGAGACTTTTATAGGTTTTGGTACTAAAATGGACTCATGTGAATAGTGAGGTGACTATTTTGGCACTTTACTCATAAACAAAACTATTATAGAAAATAAAACCTCGCTCTTTAATTCTTTTCCTCTCTGCTGAAAAGATGATTGAACTTCTAATCCATTTTCCAGGGGACAGACGCTTTACCCAATGGAAGGGCTCAGTTGTAGATTCAGTGGTTGGTGTCTTTCTTACTCAGAATGTGTCGGATCATCTGTCTAGGTATGATCGAATTTGGAAAATATTCCGGAGCATAATTCATTATGTTTTTCATGCATTGACCATCTATTTCACATCTTTTTGAACTATTAAAAGTCATTGGAGTACTACACCCTGATAATTATCTAATTTTGACAGCTCTGCATTCATGACCCTTGCTGCAAATTTTCCTCTATCAAGGCGCAAATATGGTGTACCAAATGGAGAAATGGTGAACACATCCACAGAAATTCAAAACAGATGCATCATACCATTTATTGACAATCCGAAATTACAAAGTAACTTACTGGATCATGGCTCATTCCACTGTTCTTTGGAGCTTAATGTATCTGAAAATGGGGATCAAAAGGACAATAGCAATTTTAGTGAAACACATGGGAGTATTAGCACAAGCAGCATTACCTATTACTCTAGACAAAAAGGTAAAGGAAAAAGTTTAAATTTACAGGAAAAAGAGGCAACATTATATCAAGAATCAACTGTTAGTGTATCTGGTACCACTAACCAAGCAGAAATGGAGGATGTAAAATTGCATGAAGATGCCATCACATCCCAAAATTCTGCATGTTCATCTCAAAACTCCCCAGGGTTTCATGTTCCGTCAAACAAACATATTGGATCAAACTCAATTATAAATATTGAAGCAGATGATTATTTTAGTGTAAACACGGGCAATGATACTTTAGGAAGTTCTTCATTTACAAAGCTTATTCAGATCGCAGAAAGCTGCAGTTTCAATGAATTCTATGGCTGTGGTAGAGGAATGATTTCAGCAACTAAAAATCAAGAGACAAATTTTAATTTTGAAAACAATCCTACCCTTTGGAGTCAATTGGATAACTCAAAAGATAACTTATTAGATATGTCGCCTCCTACAGAGTCTTGCCACTTTGTTGATCCCTTTAACTCCAAAATCATGGTCAACAATGCCAATCTCTCAGCAGATCTTAGATCACATTTACTTTCAACCAGCAGTGAAATAATCAGTAGTAATGCCTTCGAGGTTATGAGCATAAACTATAGTGAATCAGACGGAAGTGTGGCTGAATCTACCAGTCTTCATAAGATCGTGTCATCTTCCAACACTGCAACTAACATTGATTCATTTGCGCCAATAAGAAAACTAACTACACAAATGGAAGTTGGTGCTAATATGACTTCTGCTACTTATAAAAACATGGCAAAAGCTATCATAGATGTCACAAAAAATGAAAATCCAAATGCATGCTCAAGTTTACAAACTGAAGACGTTACAATATTCCACCAGAAAGATGGAAACTCAATGTTCCAAGGACAAAGAACTCACAATACAGTTCAAGCTCTGGATCAATTAGAGACATGCAGAACTCAACAAACAACAATCTCAAATAACGAAATAAAGCATAGTTTGGATGTGGTTGACAAAGCTGGGCCAAATCCAAAATCCGAAACTTGCAGTTTTCAAGTAGTTTCACCAGAAAAAAGTGACCCTGCATCAAAAGCTAGGAAAAGGAGATCGGAAGTTGAAGATAATAGCTTCGATTGGGAGAGCTTGAGGAAAGAGGTATGCTGTACTAAACCAGCCAAAGAGAGAAGTAGCACCACCATGGATTCGGTTGATTGGGAAGCAGTAAGGATTGCAGATGTAAGCAGGATTTCTGAGTCCATCCGGGAACGTGGAATGAATAATGTATTGGCAGAGAGAATCAAGGTAGAACTTAACAATTTTAGTTATTAGTAGTATGACAGACCATTTAATATTCCCATTCAGACTGTATTTTAAGACATTGACTTTTCAGACAGTGTTTTAAAGTACATATTGGCAGAAATAATGAAACAAACACAATCAATATTTTTGTTTGCTTGTTTTTCTTCATCCCACTGCAGGAATTTCTAAATCGACTTGTTAGAGAGCATGGTAGCATAGACCTTGAGTGGTTAAGAGATTTTCCACCAGATAAAGTCAAGTAAGAGAAACACATACATTCCTTGATCATTGTGCTTCTTTTGTTCACTTTTTTTACTATCACATGCATGCGTTTTCATAGAATTACACCAACATTGCATTGAGTAAGCATGAAGGATAAACAGCTTCAAAATTTCCCTTTCTTGGTAACCTTTTTTAAGTTATATTCATTGGAATACTGCAGCTGCTGAGATTTGGTTATGCTTTCAATAATGCAAGCTTTTTGCATTACTATGATCTTTTCATTGATGACACCTAATATTTTGTTAATGTCGGATTCTTTCTTTAAATCTTTGAAAACCTTTCATATTGAAAATCAAAGCTCCAACAGCATTATACACATTGATGGTTATTTTTTCCGCAAATATTCAATATCTTGAAATATATTTTGATTTATTTTGCACTTACAGGGACTACCTCCTAAGCATAAGAGGATTGGGGCTGAAGAGTGTAGAATGTGTTCGTCTTTTGACACTACAAAATTTAGCTTTTCCGGTATGTGTTTTTCCAAGAAAAGTGTCAAAATAGTCTCCGACTCTTCGTAAGGGATCATTATAGTCCCGGAGTCTATAAAGTATCAACTTAGTCCCCGAATTTTAATATGGGATTAAATAATCTCCAAAAAGGACCATTTCAGCCACAAGTTAAAGAGTTGGGGACTAATTTGATGGGACTATTTTGACACTTGTATTTTTCCTTGAGGAAATATGTCGCCTAGCAAACAAAATGCATGTTTCAAATTAAATTTCCCTATCATTTTTTTACCTGAATAATAAGGTTGACACCAATGTTGGTCGCATATGTGTGAGACTGGGATGGGTTCCACTCCAACCATTGCCTGAATCCCTTCAACTGCACCTTTTGGAGCTGTAAGATTATACTTAGATTTCAGCTTATAAAAGCAACGCATCACACAACATGAGAATGGTAAACATCAACATCCTTTTTGTCCTTTCTCTCGACTAGGTATCCTGTGTTGGAGACCATTCAGAAGTACCTTTGGCCTCGCCTATGCAAGCTAGACCAACGAACATTGTAAATTCAGTAACTTACCTAATTGATGCTAATAGAGTCCTTGACATGATGGGATAGATAACACTTTGGTTTTCATGAGATCATTTTAGTTCCAGAGTTTATAAAAGTGTCAAATTAGTCCTCAAACTCTTTAAATTGGAGCTGACTGTTACAACTTATATTAAATAGTCCAAGTTTGGGGATTAAATTATCATTTTTATATAGAATCTGGGACTAAAATAGCTCAATGTAAACAATCAGGGGACTACTTTGACTCTTGACCTTTTTTTTTAATTTTTTATTCTAATGAAATATTAAATATTTTGACTTCAGGTATGAACTGCACTATCAGATGATAACCTTTGGAAAGGTAATGTATTTATGCACAATGTGATGCTATTCAGATTATTTTGAATAAGGAATTATTAGCTGATGTGACATATGATTTGCCCATTTTAAATTTCATGCAGGTTTTTTGTACAAAAAGAAAGCCGAATTGCAACTCATGCCCAATGAGAGGAGAATGCAAACATTTTGCAAGTGCCTTTGCTAGGTATCTATGATTGAATTATTTCTTATGTTGGAAAGTTAGATGTCGGAAATTATAACATAAACCATTTGGTAATCCAACTGCTAGCCTTGCAGCATTTCTTTGCTCTTATGTACACGTAGAAGCTCGAAGGATTTACCTGGACTACAAATTTTTTTGTTTTTTTAATGTTCCGTGTTCTTTGCAAACCATTTCTTTGTAATGGCACATTTGCTGTCTGCCAATGTTTTCACCATTACCAAACTATTTTACATTAAACTCTTTTCTGGTCGGAAGAATGCCTTGATACGGTTGAATTCTCTTCCTATTATGCTTAGGCCCGAATTTCTACCTTTTCCTTCATGGAGACCTATTCTATAACTATAATGTAGTTATATTTTCGTTCAATTTATTCATAAAATTTATCTTAACATTCTTAATCCATGCAAATTCAGTTGACAAAGCAAGCGCTCTATAGATAAATTCTTTCTCAAAATAAGTACTAAGCATAATTTATATGGAGATGAAGATGTCCAAATAAATAGTCTAATGGCGATTAAAATATTCAGAATGGCATAAATATAAGTTTATAAAATTTCATAAAAAATTATTAGGTAAAAATTATGTAAAAGAGCAGCCTTCAATTTGCTATATGTTTAGGCGTCTGATAATTTAAGGATTAGTCATATTTTAGCTTCTAGAATGAGCTATTCTCTGGAGCAATCCGCAATACTTAATACGATTATTGGAACAACCTAGAAAGGAAACATAAAATGTGGAATGTTTTGCAGTGCCAGACTTGCCCTTCCAGCTCCTGAGGATAAAAGTGTAATGAGTTTCACAACAATAATTGCCTCCGATGAAAGCCAATCTATCTCTATAAATCCAACACCCCTTCCTCAGCTTGAAGGAGGTTCAAATTCATGCACCTTTCGGAATAATTGTGGGCCAATCATAGAAGAACCGGCATCACCAGAGCCGGAATGCCCAGAAGCTTTGGAAAGTGCAATAGAGGATGCATTTTATGAGGATCTTGATGAAATTCCTACAATAAAGCTCAATCTAGAAGAGTTCACACAAAATCTTCGAAAATACATGGAAGAAAATATGGAGCTTCAAGATGGCAGTTTGTCGAAGGCTTTAGTTGCTTTGACCCCAGAGGCTGCTTCCATCCCAATGCCCAAGCTGAAGAATGTGAGCCGTCTACGGACTGAGCATCAAGTGTATGTGTTAATTCTATGTAGCTTTTATCAAGAAGCACACAAAAAATGTCACTAGCGCAACATTAATACTCATTTTGGTCAATGCTGCACGGTGCGTTTATGCTAAGTTAATTTTTTCAATTTTGCAGATATGAAATTCCAGATAAACATCCACTGTTGGAAGGGGTGAGTTTTTTGTTTCTGTTAGCCTCTGCGAAGCTATTTGAGTTGGTGGTATTATTTATACACTTATTTAAAACATGAATTTAACGTTATTTGAAAAGAGAGAGTTCCCAATTAGATTGAATTACCCCTGACAAAATTCACTATTTAGTAAAGCTATACATTAAATGTTGATGGTCATATAGATTAGCAGGAATAAAATTCAGAATACGACTCTACCTGGAGCGCCTCTCAGATATCGTTGTTGGTCTAGGAACCAGACAATATTGGAACAGCTACACGAATCCGCAAGGAAAAAAAGATAAAGCTGTTAACTTCAGTTTAGAAATACAACCTCCTAAATGTGGTGGCTACTTTGATTTGGTGGAAATTTTAAATGAGTGCAAAAGTCTAAAATTTTCTGCATTTAGCTCAAGTTTGAATAACCTTGACAATGGGAACCATTGTTTACAGGGCTTGAATGTCATCTGTAGAAGAAAAGTTATATTGTGAATTCTCTGATATCTGAAATTTAAAAAATATGTACTTGTGACTATGAGCTTTGTGAATGGCTGGTTTCTGATATATTATTCATTGATCATAAATATTAAACCTTGCCTTTGTTCGTATCTCATTCTTTAAACCATGCAGGTGGACCCAAGGGAACCAGACGATCCAAGCCCATACCTTCTCGCTATATGGACACCAGGCAAGAAAACTAAGCACATTTTGGTTATCAATATTGGCAGTCATGCTGCAACAATTAAGGGTCTGCTAAGCCAAGACAACTCGTGAGCCGGCTCTGGCTCAACTCGATAAGTGGCTGGGTCTACTAAGCCAAGACAACTTGTGAGCCGGCTCTGGCTCAGCTTGATAAGTGGCTCATGAATTGAGCTCGATGAGCTAACAAGTCAAGCTCAAGCTAGCCCCAATTCAACGTTTGCTCGTGAGCCGGCTTATTTAAAGAGCAATTAATATAAAATATACTCAAAATATAATAAATTCAAAAATTTATCTTTAAATTATTAAAAATATTTAAAAATTATATTTTACATTGTATATCAAGTGATTTTTTTAATAATTATATCCTAAATTCTCATTTTATTAAAAGATTATCTTGAATTAAAATTGATTTATCTCTTTTATAACAAAGAAGCAAATTTGTGAGCCAGCTCAAAGTCGTAGAATTAAGCTCGAGTTTGAGCTCGAACTCGATTAATTAATCAAACTCAAGCTCAATCCGAGGGTGTCTCAAGCTAGACTTGACTCGTTTACACCCATAGTTGCAATTGCATCTTAATAAGCCATACTTCTTAAATAGGTGAGACAGCACAGTCAACTGAACCACCAAAAGCTTGCTGCAACTCACAAGATCCGAATCAACTTTGTGAGAGGAGCACATGTTTTGCTTGCAAGAGTATACAGGAAGCGGAGTCTCATAATGTTCGTGGAACACTTTTGGTAACTGATGCTTATTTAGTGTTTTATTTGTCAACAAGCTTAGTTATTTTTTTATGTGCCTCTTCAAAAATGGCCAATTCTATTTGTTATTGTTGGTCCTAACACAAGCATGAACAGATACCTTGTCGAACTGCAATGGGAGGAAGCTTTCCACTTAATGGTACCTACTTTCAAGTTAATGAGGTAAGGTGTCTTTCTATAAGAACTATGATATTTTTATTTACTAGTTATTTTGCAATCACGAAGTTCCTCAAATAAACAACTAGTTGTCACAATTAAATGAAGCATAGATACTTGGAGGACGAAGAGTACTAGCTTTTGGCTACAAAAAAAAACTAAACAAAAAAGAATATGATGGAAGTTGGTAGAAATATAATGATAAAAAAAAATTAAACAATTAAATAAAAATAATATTTGGAAGATTTTTCTTGCCCAAATAGATTGGTTTATCAAAATATCTCATAGCCATAGGTGTAGGCCCTATAGAGAACTTCAGATACAATACAACTCTAAATGAAAAATTATAATAAAATTATTCAATGATCACCATATAGAATTGAAATGAACTCTTTTATACTTAATATATAATGATCTATTTATAAAAAACAAATTTATATTTGAATGCTCTCTTAAAATTCGATGTAATCTTTAGAATTCAAACAAATGATTTAACGTTAGTGAAAGCCAATACAACTTTTGTTTATTTTCTAAAAATTGAAAGATTACAACCATAGATTGGTGGAATTGCATGTTATTTTTTAGTAAAAAAGCTCAAACCTTAAGTGCATGTGATTAGCATCGTATTTTAAAAATACAATTTTTATTTAATTTAACTGCTATATGATATTCTATCCTTAAGGATTGTTAGCAATAAATGACTTAATTAAGCACAAAATTTAATTGGTTGAGAATAAAAAGGATAGAATTACAAAGAGAATTAATTAAGGGGCTTTTTAATTGCAAGCGTCATGAGTGTGATATGAACCAAATGTAGGTAATTATGAATGTGGACATTTGGTTTGATGTAAATCGAAGGCAATGTAATGTTTTTTGTGATTTTGAGTCCTTTTTTAGTTCAATATGATGCATTTTAAACTTCGTTGATTCAACTGATTTCCGAATGCAACATGCAAGCAGCTGTGATCGCCACCCCTATAGCCATTGCTGCCACCTCTTAGTAGTCGTTGTCTTCTCCGTCATTTTCCCCATCACCACCACCTTCTTATGCCCATTATTGGCTGCTAACCACCTCCATCACCCCTTGCCAACCACCTTTGTTTGCCTCTCACCAGCTGTCACCATTGACAACCATTGTTGTCTTTCTTCTACTTGCCACTTCCACTCCTAGCTGTTGGTCACCACTAACACTGCCACCAACTTTGTTTTCAACCACTTTTGAAATTGCCAAATGTTGTCTGATATTGGGTTTTATATTGATTTCATTCTACTTCAAATCAAACATACAACAATAAGAAGCCTTTATCCCACTAAGTGGGGTCGGCTACATGAATCCTTTTTCTCTATTATGTTATATTGAGTGTCACGTTCACATTTAATTATAATAAATTAAAATCATTTTTTATACATCATGCCAAATTCTTTTAGGTATACTTTTACCTTTTTGAATCTAAGTCAAATCTAAAACATTTACTCTCCTAATTGGATCATTAGATGATCGGCGTTTAATTTGACCAAATCATCTAGGATGACTCTCTCTAATCTTGCCTGACACTGGAGCCCCACCAACCTTTTCACGGATATAATCTTCTTGCATTTTGTCTCTAAGAGTCAAGCCATTCATCCACCTAAGCATTCTCATGTTAGCAACATTTAACTTTGATTTATGCTTCTCCTTTAAAGGCCAACATACTTCGCCATAAAGCATTGCATGTCTCACCACCATCTCATAAATTTTCGTTTAAGTGTAAGCGTTATTTTTCTATCACACAAAAGGCCCAATGCATTCCTCCACTTCAACCACCCAACTTGAATTCCACTAATAACATACCCATCTATATCACCATCAACTCGAACAACAAACCCAAGCTTTCTAAAACGTTCACTCCTTTTAATGATTTGATCACCCTGTCACTAGATTTAATACTACCAAAATTACATTCTATGTATTGAGCTTTATATTTACTCAAATGAAAGCCTTTAGAATCCAATATAAACCTTCATAATTCAAATTTATGCTGAACTCCTTCTCTAATCTTATCCAAAAGAAGGATATCATCAACTTCAAGTCAAACATAACAAGGTAAAATTCTGCTTTTATTTTGCACCTAACCAAACAACTCTATATCATTTTAAAAATACTAAAATTTGATTTTATTGCATTTCATTTGCATAACATTTTTTAGCAAATCAAACAAACCTTAAAATTATTAGGATATTTATTCAATAATACTCAAACTGAATCTTTTTAACAACTTCATACTAAGAGTAATAATTGGATCACTGAGGGCAAAAAAATTGACGATAAATTGAAATGATTGACTTTATTAAATACTTATGAAGTAAAATTATAAATACTTCAAAACAATTGTAGTAAGTAGCCGACCCATGTGCATGATTAGGAAGGAATTTATTTTCTTTACTTAGAATATATTTCAATATTTATTTTTTCCTTTATTAGATTTTTTGTATGTTTTCTATTTTTCTATTTTGGTGGAATCCCTAATTTAAAGGGATTACAGTTTCCTATTTTGTGGATTTGTATGCTGGTCACTCATTTACATATAGTAGAATATAATTAATTTATTATTGTGTGGAATAAATTTTTTTTGAGATGTATTCCTGGTATCAGAGCCACCGTCCTTTCTCCCATTGCAAGGCTCACAATCACCGTCTCACTCTTCCATTCAAACTCACCTTGGACAAGCCGTGGGATACTGACCATGCCATCTTCCATATTCCTTGCATTCCCAGCGGTGGAACAACTTCACCTCCTCTTCAGTTTGCTAAAGCTGTGAATAATTCGATTTTCCCTACCTTCCCTCTCCCGAGTTTCCTACTTCCAAATAGCCTCCTCCGACAATCCTACTTCTCATTGCTTTTCTTGGCAAACATTCCTCTCATTTTTCATTTTAGCAGGAGGACCTTCCTCTGATTCGAGCTCCCATCACAAGAACTGAGTCACATAACGGAACCTTAATTCTTTTTGACTTTACTCTTATTATGACCAAATATGGAATGACCTCATAATCTTCTTTCTAGTAAATCACCTCTAGATTTTAGCCTACATTTTCAGTCTCTGTTATACTTGTTAAATCATCTCATTTTATCACGAATCATAAATTGCAAGGCCATATTTTTTTTAATGGCCATGTTTCATTTTCATATACATCTATAGTAGAGGGAAGGATTAATATCTCACAAGTGAAATCTAAGTGCCAGAAGTGACAGATTCCAAATATTGGGCTTCAAAAATTGAAAACCACATAATTATATCATGGTTAATAAATTCAATGGCCGTGGAGGTTGGAGAAAACTTATTGTTTATAGGACAATCAAGGAGATATGAGATGTTGCAAGTGAAGCCTACTCTTACATTGAAAACTCTTATAAATTATTTGAGATTGAGACCAAACTACATGATCTACAATAAAGATAATTGAGTGTTACTCAATATTTCAACACTCATACATTGTTGGTTGTAATTAGATATATACAAGATTTATTCTTGGAAATCCCGATGAATCTGGCTTGTATAAGAATATTACTGAACGAAAAAGGACCATCAAATTTCTCCTTAGCCTTAATAAAGACCTATATGAAGTTAGGAGAGAATCATTTGAATTAAAATCATTCCTACCATTTGGGGGGCTTTTGCAGAAATTTGAACAAAGAGCAAAAATAAATTGATGACAAATAACCACACCACACAATCTATTGAAGGATTAGCCTTGTACATTAAAAAATTTTCATAATAATAAGCCCAGAAAAGTCAACCGTGGTGCGGCTATTGAAATATATTTGTTCAAGTGAAGATAACATGCTAGAAATTACATGACAAACATACAAATTAGAAGCCATCTAATGGAAGATATGATAGGGGGAATCATGCAAATGTTGTTGTCACAACTAACAACAATACAAAATGCAACTCTTTCACCAGGAACATATTGAGGCACTGCAGAAAATATTTAGTTATGTTTTTGTAGAATTTGGGAATAGAGTAGAACACCTATTATTGTTAATGAATAGGATATAAATACAAGATACAGGGATTATATAAAAGGAAAGATATAATACCCAAATTACTCTTAATAACACCCAAAGGATAAAAAGGAAATACATAAACATAGAAAAGGGAATAATATAAATGACAACAAAATAAATAGAAATAACTTTTAAAACTCCCCCTCAAGTTAAAGCAGATGTCAATCATGTTCAACTTAGATTTGAAATCGTCAAACAATGGCCGAAGAAGATTCATTGTGAGCATATCTACGAGTTGACCTGTAGACGTAACAAAAGGAACACAAATATCTCCAAAATCACACTTCTCCTTGATAAAGTGACGGTCAACCTCCACATGCTTGGTATGATCATATTGGACTGGATTTTGTGCAATACTATTTCCATTTTTATTGTCACAAAATAGTTGTAGAAGAACAAAGGCTGGCATACGTAAGTCGCGAAGCATGATACGCAACTAGATGGCTTCACATACTCTAGGGACATAGATCGAAACTGAACTTCAGCACTGTTACAGTGAACCACAAAGTGTTTTTTACTTTTTTCCTTTTGACAAGATTTTGCAAGACGAAGGAGCAATAACTTGAGGTAGATCGTCGATCATGGACGGACACGACCCAAGCAACATCTGTATAAATGACAATAAAACAAGAGGTGTGACGAGAGAACAACAAACTTGAGCCTAGTGTGCTTTTAAGTAGTGGAGGATCTGATGGACAGTGGTGAGGTGATGCTTGTAGGGATTATTCATGAATTAACAATACCAACTACGTGACGGATGTCGAGGTAAATGAGTTTCCTTACTAGACGTTCGTAGTGTGTCTTTTTCATTGGAACGACATTGGGAATGTCAGTCAGTTTCCACTGGGATCTATTGGAACAACCACCGGTTTCCACTGAAGTAGCTTTGTCTTGGTCAGTAAATCTATCACATATTTGTGTTGGGAAATAAATCTATCACATATTTGTGTTGTGTGTTG